ACAGTTGGTAAGCCTGGCGACGACTGCGGCGGTGACACCGACTGTCCATCGATGGACACGCGTATCATCGGCGGTAAAGTCAATGGTGTGGTTGTCTGCGGCGATATCTCAGCGGCGGTGCTGTCAATGGCCACCAAACGGGGAGCAGTCGACTGTCAATGAGTGGTATAAACGGGATATCAATACAAACAGTGATAATACTGGCCATCATTACCTGATTGTTATCATTGGTTACCACTGTCTGCGACATAACTACTTGTGGCGACCGGTAGTGCTAAATGGGATCAAGTTTTCGGTGATATTGTGTCCACTTTTGCGTCCGTTTATCGATGTCTTTGTATTTCGTGACACTATTTCTGTTGACACACAAAGTGTTTGTATTAATGAATGCTTTCGTAAGACTTATCGTATAATAAAAGATTTATTTATTTATATGTTTTGTGTATGAATGAGTCGATTGCATAACAAATGCTATTTAATTGCATTTCAATTGAAAACACAATTAAATGGCAATCAGTTTAGTGTTGTTTACTGTTAGACGCATACGATATACACAAATGATTTTTGAGTACAGTTTGTAGACCTTATGCATTGGATTCTAGTGAGACTTTTCTACAATATGTTCTATGAGTTTGTATTTGAGTAGACAGTGTTGTATTGGCACTACAGTCGCCGCTCAGTGTCTGAAAACTTGTAAAAACTTTTTTGTTTTAAAATGAATTTAATTTTCGTTGAATTGAAAGTCATTATAATTTATTTTGCAAATTAAGTTATCTAGGTTAATGTCGCGTGAATACATAGTAATTCTAATATACATTCAAGGTTTGAATATCAAAATAATAAACACTTAAACATTACTTTAAAAACTGTTGTATAACTTTAGAAAATATATACAGAATATTCTGTAACTGTTATCTCATATCTTAAAATAATTACGAATTGAAGACAACTTATGAACACACAATTTAGGAGTTATATAGATATAGTTTAATATGAAAATTGAATAAAACAGATCCAATGTGACAATAGATTGGCAATTATGGCAGTCATGGCTATACTTATGAATTAAATTGTCTTTTATTCTCCGATCGAGTTGTGGGCCAAGTGTTGGCAACAGATTTGCCGAACCATTCCATAGCGGCGTTCAGTCTTCTCTGGAGTTCAGACCCTTTGGTCTCCAAATGACTCTTATTTGCGGCCATTTGTCGAGTCATCTCCTGGTTCTCCACTTCCGACTGTTTGTTCCGATCCTTCAGCTCATCGTTTGTCTTCGAGAGCTCGTCCACACGTATCCTCCGATTGTTACTCAACGCCCTGACTGTCACCACCTCTTGTTTACTCACCGAGAGATCACAATTCAACGCTTTCCTCTGTTCCCTCGATGTCTCCAATTCCTGGCGCAACGTTTGGATCTCCTCTTTGATGTCATCGACCGACGGATCCTTGTCTTCTGTCACCACTTGTGACCCCATTTCGGTTGACTCGTCGGCCACTCTTATGATATCTTCGTTGGTGGCGGTCATGAAGTGTCAGTAATTGTGGACTCAATGAAGAGATTCAAAGTCAGTTCACGTATGAATTGAATGCAAACTGAAATGTAATGAAATTTTTGAAAAGTAATCAAAAGTTTATTTTCATGTATTTCGTTAGCAAACGACCGTTAAATCTCTCCCATCACTCGATCACTGGATTAACTGTATGTCCAGTGGTGGGGACCAACCCTTTCACAAATAGGTGTCAAAATGAGTGCTAAATGATTGCAGTATTGGATCCAATGTCTAATCAGTGAGCATCTCTCTCTCTCTTTCTCTCTCTCTCTCTCTCTCCTCAGTTCGCATCAGTATTCGTGTTGAGAGCCCATCATTGATGAAGATTGGAGAGCGATGGAGAGCATAGTGTGCATCACAAGTGCCTGTA